GGGCTCTGAGCTCCACTCTAAGCAACAAAGTTGCAATTATAGAAGCTAAACAAACCCCAGATACCTGCTTTCAGCAGGCCGTGGCCTTGGAGGAGCTGGAGCAACAAAGTTTCAATTATAGTGTTGGGGTCCAGCCCCAGCAGGTCAAGGGGTTCCCAAAGGTGTGGACGGAGTCGGCGAAGAATGAAGGAATGATACGGAGACAGCGTTCAGTTGATCAGCAGCCTAGCCAGGATCTCTAGCCCGGATCTCCAGCCAAGTTCTGTCTAGGAACTCCAGCCAGGTTCTCCAGATTCTCCAGCCAGGTTCGGTCGCCAGATTCTGTCCTCTATTGTCTTGTTACATCTGTATTTATAGCAGTGTGTGCCCGTGGTATCGACGTTGAACAGGTGTCTGTTGTCATCAACTTTGACCTTCCTGTGGACAAGGATGGGAACCCAGACAACGAGACTTACCTGCACTGGATTGGGCGCACTGGCCGCTTTGGCAAGAGGGGCCTGGCAGTGAACATGGTCGACAGCAAGCACAGCATGAACATCCTCAACAGAATCCAGGAGCATTTTAGTGAGTCCTGGGAGTGTCCTGCCTTTCCTTATGGGGCAAGTCGGGGGATGGGTGGAAGCGTAGGTAGTCCTGTGGCCCCTAGAGAGGCTTTGTCCCTTTGCACATTCCCCTCCTCCCCTACAATCGGGAAGTCCTCAGAGAGCACACCTGGGAGTTCAGTGTCAGGACTCGAGTGTCGGTTCCCCTTGGCCAGGCTGAGGGCCTTGGACTCGGACTGTTGTTGTCAGTGTCTGTCTCAGGCACCAGAATCCTTTGGGTTTAACTGGAGGATGGATGTGGGCAGAGGCAGGGCTCGTTCCTAGCCAGGGCAGAGACCTGTGTTTTCTCTCCCAGCTGGGCTGCCCTTCCCTAGGTGTGTCTCTCCATGTAACCCCATGTTGATTTATTTGAATCTTTTTTTTATTCTCAGATAAGAAAATAGAAAGACTGGACACGGATGATTTGGACGAGATTGAGAAAATAGCCAACTGAGAAGCTCCTGCAGGTCCTTCCCAGGAAACCCGTGCTTTCACAGCACAGGCCTGGACGTCACCGAAGGACAAAGGCACAAGTGGACAGGAACCACCTGCCTTATTTTAAACTACGTTTTGAGCCGAAACCGGTTTGGCTCAGTGGATAGAGCGTCAGCCTGCGAACTGAAAGGTCCCCCGGGTTCGATTCCGTTCAAGGGCATGTACCTTGGTTGCGGGCACATCCCCAGTGGGAAGTTTCATCTGATTCTCAGTCTTGATTGTTTATATCTAATCTATTTTCTTCCATTGGAAACATTGTGAATCTTTCCACTATTCTCTGAGTTCTGAAAGCTCATATTTATAAGCCTATTATAAGTCCATTTTTATTAATTGTAATGGAGCTTTTCAATGTGGAAAGTCATGTTCTTCACTTAATTTTTCACTTAACATTTTCATGAGTGTTTTTCTTGGTGATTTCTACCTTTCCATTTTCCCTGTCATCCTATTATTCAGGTATTGGATCACCTGTATTTCTCTAATTTTCTTATGAATACTCATATTTTCTATTTGTGTTTTTTAAAAAAATCTAATTTCTGGGAGAGTTTCTCAATTTCTCTTCTAATTCATATATTGAATTTCTAGTATTATACTTTTAATTTCCAATGATTCTTTTTTAAACTTTTCTGAATGTTCCTTTTTAATAGAACCTCCAGTTTCAGGGATACAATATCGTCTCATTTCTCTGAATATTTTAATGATAACTTTAAAAAAGTTTCCATCTCCTTCTATAGTCTTTGTTTCCTCTAAGTTGCAACTCATCATTTTTTTCCCTTTTGTTCATCTTGTCTTTTATGTTGGAGATTTTCCTCAGATATCTAAGGATTCTTATCTGCTTAATAATAATTAAGTGGATCACTTGCCCAGCTGGTGTGGCTCAATGGTTGAGCATTGACCCATGAACCAGGAGATCATGGTTCCATTCCCAGTCAGGGCATATGCCCAAGTTGCAGGCTCTATCCTCAGTGTGGGACATGCAGGAGGTAGCTGATCAATGATTCTCTCTCATCATTGATGTTTCTATCCCTCTCTCTGAGATAAAATAAATAAATAAAAAGAAATAGTGGATCACTTAAAAGCTCAGTGAGGTTTCTTTGTTAGCCTGGGAGGCTTGATAATTATGGGTCTCACTGTAGCGTGGTTGGGTGTCTGTCGATGAGAATTTCCACCTCACGTCAGTATTTCTAGGTCATTTATCTTGGTGGGGTCACATTTCAAAAGAAGAAACTTTTCCACTCTTGTGTGGGTGGTATGAACCTCACTATCTGCTTTCTTGGAGCCAAGTTGGGGAAGAGCACTGGCAGTGGTTTCAACATTTAGTATGTATACATATTTTACTTAATCCTCTTCTTTTCAATATAGTGCCCACACTATTAACTGTTCCTAGACCCCCAGTCCAGAGCCCCCTCCCCCTTTTTTTCAGCTTTCTAAGGGAATCAGGCCCCAGTTGTCTGCCAGGTAGAAGAAGTGAATGCTGGTTTTTTGCTTTCCCCACCAGTGTCTCTGGTTTATTAGGTACGATACCTGTTGTCCTGCTTTCCAGCTTCCAACATTTTATTGCTCTCATTTCCTTTGAAACTTGCGCATCTTTAAAATAAAAAAGTACCTTTTTGTTTTTTGCATTTTATAAGGGTGTCAGAGGAAATGTGTAGGTTTAATCTGTCATCTTTAGGTGGAAGTTCAACATGCCTTTATTGAGCACCTGCCTGGACTAGATTGTGTTGGAACAGTGGGGAATACACAGATATTCTGTTGTGTAATGTAATTGAATCATTGTCAGGTCTCAGTTATGACCTGAAAATCTAGACCTAACCTTAGGAAGCACTGAGTAATTCAAGATGCTGATTTCCTCATGATCGAGAGCCAAATTAAATGTGGGAAGTATGCTGATGGGTGCAATAATTATGACAGAATGAGCAAGAAAACTTTTATATAAATACTTTATGTATTCAGATTTCTACACGCTGTTGTATTTTTCGTTCTTTTTTTTTTTTACTGTTAGACCAGAGGAAATTAATGAAGAAGATGGAAAAAAAGAATGACTTCACCACCTCCACCCCTGAGCAATGTCCAAGACAGTTTTGGATAAATAATTCCCCAGAATTCAAATATATTAAAATGGAAGCCACACAATCAAATGTCCATAGGAGCCACACTGGTACTATATTCAGTCACATTACAGAGAAATAATAGTACATAATAAGAATATATGGCAAGAAGCCTTTGGCCTCAGAGTAGGGTGACTGTAGAATGCTTAGGAACTGTAAAGAGAGTGCCCTGTGGAAGTGAGTCCTTGTTGTAGAACTTCAGCCTGACGTTGCCTTGTGGAAATGAGTAACGCAAGTTTTCCATGGAAACCAGAAACCTATATTTTAATATAAAATATGAAAATGAGAAAGTAGAAGATGGAAATTAAAAAATATTAATATGAAATAATCCAATTTAAAGTTTTATTTATTTATTATTATTTAATCCTCATCCGAGGATATTTTTTCCATTGATTTTCAGAAAGAGTGGGAGAAGGAAAGACAAAAAGAAATATTGATATGATGGAGCTCCAGTGGCGCAATCGGTTAGCGCGCGGTAGGGAAAGACAAAAAGAAATATTGATATGAGAGAAGCACATTCATTGGTTGCCTCCTGCCCGGGCCGGGGAAGATCCTGCAACCAAGGTACATGCTCTTGATTGATATGAGAGGAGCACATTCATTGGTTGCCTCCTGCCCGAGCCGGGGAAGATCCTGCAACCAAGGTACATGCTCTTGACCAGAATTGAACCCGGGACTCTTCCGTCCACAAGCTGATGCTCTACCCACGGAGAAAACCCGGCTAGGACCCCAATTTAAAGTTTTAAAACATTATCTAATAGTTTTAAAAATGTTTAAAAACTGTACAAAGAGAACATATTTGTAACCAAATTGAATTGCAGGTCTTTAATTTACAACCTATGCCATAGTCTTCATTTACCCTGGGTTCATTTTTCAAGATCATATTGGGTTATTCATAATTTTCATGGCAAATGTAATTCCGAAGTGTGACGTTAATCTCTGGGGAATTGTTAAAATGTAAAAAACAAAAACAAAAGAGAGAGAGAGAGAGAGAGAGAGAGAGAGAGAGAGAGACTTACTAACAAAAATAATGGGTCTAGAAATTCTGTATGCTCTTTGCCGTGGAATGAAACTCTTTCCTCATAGAGTTAACCCAATTCCTCAAAACCAACCTGCATTTCCAAGGTCCTTCGGATCGAAATGGATCCTGTTATACTATCTAGCTGCTTAAAGGAGTGAAGAAGCTTTCTACGCATTGATAGGAGAAGGTTGACAAGGTACACTGTTAGATGGAAAAAGCAAGGTGGAAAACAATAGGTCTAATATGATACACTTTGTGTTAAAATAGAGGAACGTAGAGATTCCATTTTATAGTAGCTTGTATATGCATGAAGAAAATCTTTAAGGTTACATAAAAAAAAAGAATGTCAATCTACAGGGTGGAAACTGGGCAGATGGGGACAATCTGGAGAGGAAGCTGTCACGATATATCTTTTATTTCAGGTGTGCTATCACTTTTGTGAAAAATAAAATTTAAAAATATTTTTTATTTCAATCACAAATTCGTATCCAATTAACTTACTCTAAAAGGATGGTTTGTTGGCTATGTACTGGGAGAGCCCAGTGGCAAGGTAGCTGGAAAAGCATGGCTGGATAAATCAGAACTTGTTTTTGTTCTCTGTCCCTAACTCTCAGCTCCTTGGTGTTGGCTGCAATCTCTCTTGCAGCAGATGGCTGCCCTGCAAGGTTCAGGAAAAATGGCCATAAGATGCATGAGTCATAGGCTTATATTATTCTGATAGCTTGCCAAAGAGGAAGAGAAAGCATCTTTCCTTCTCTGGCAGTGAAGTCCCAAGAAGAACTCTGGACCAACTTGGGTCACATATCCTCCTTGATCCCTGAACCTCATTGTGGCCAGGAGGTAGAATACTCTGATTGGCCAGGCCTAGGTCACATAGGGATGGTGAGGTTTCCCTCACTGAACTACATAGAAAGAGGAGGAATATTCCCCCAAGCCAGCGGTGCTAGGCAATGAACACATATCTACACTAATAAAAGAGAAACATGCAAATTGGTGTCACTCCGCTACACCCACCAGCCAATCAGAGCAACTATGCAAATTAACCCAACAAAGATGGCGGTTAATTTGCATATGCAGGCACGGAGCAAAGACTGAAGACTGAAGACTGAAGAGGCTTGGCTTCTCCACTGCGGCCGGATCAAAGGCCTGGGTCCTGGGTGCCAGAGGAAAAGGGGTGGCGGCAGTCAGGGAGGAAGGCCTATTGCATGAATCTCTTCGTGCAACGGGCCTCTAGTCTACTATAAAGCCAAATGTGTTTAAAACCAGAAGAAATCTAAATTGCTGTGGCTCAAACCATTATGTCTAGACTTGCTGAAGAACTCGCTGAACCACAAGATGCTAGAGACATTGAAAATGACTGTTAACTTTACAACAGTATATTCTCCATTTAAATGAGTTGCAAAGTTGAAACTGGAATATGACCTCTTTCTCTAAGACCCCGCCTAACTAAAGTTTTTGTTACAAACTGGCAAACACATCAAGCTCCTTTCCTTCACAGACTTTTTATTCCCTTCTGGTATTAGTAGTTTTTGAGTCTAAACTTAAACGATGAGACAAAGGGAAATTTTGGCCAAAGAAGGAGTAATACAAGAAGCTCAGATATCAGAAATGCTGAATTAATCTCCACAAAGCTGCCACGTTTTTAGAAAATAAAAACCTCAGCTAAGCTTATTAAAAAGTCATCTAATCTGATGACTGAAGGCAAAAGGGTGTCCAGTTAGCCAGTTACCTAACTCATGCATCTTGCAGCTTTTTCAGAACCTTGGGAGAACACACCTGCTTCAAGAGAGAATGAAGGTACACTCAAAAATAGCTATACACTATGCCTTGCAAGAGGAACCAGGTGAGCTAAGCCACTTGATACCCTCGAAATATCAGTTTCCTCATCTATAAATGGAGATGATAAATTTG